ATTTATGCACAAAGTAAGTGGAAAACACCCCCACCCACCCCCAACAACACACACACACACACCCCAGCCATAAAATTATAAACGGTCCCTAAAAGCTCATTCTCTTCCCACAGAGGTTACTTGTCATATCTTCCTACGAACCTCTGTTCTAATACGGCCCTTTCATGGTGCGAGTGTTCATGATTCGTGATTGGTTGCAATCAGATTTAGTTGTGCAATCAGCGATGATGCTTCAAAAGTGATTATTCGCAAGGCCTCGGTTATTTCCGTATGCTTCGTGAAAACTAGAACCTCTTTCTTTGCGCATTGCGCAAACGTTTCTTATAGACAGAACTCAGTCATGTAAATGGCGGATCAATGGCATCTACATCGCCCTCGTTGACAACGGACAAGCTAGCCATTAAATGTCTTGTGTGTCGCATCAACACAAATTCCTGGCAGAAGAGGGATATTTGTGACCCAACGTTTGCTTGTATTAGTCAAGTTGATGTAACACGTGTTCTGATTGGACAGAAAGAAGGGAGATAATTCGTGTTGTGATTTTTTGCCGCTAGGGATTTTATGAGAAACGGGAATATGGCCGTATTAGAGCAGAGGTTCGTAGGAAGATATGACAAGTAACCTCTGTGGGAAGAGAATGCTAAAAGCTATGATATGTGCGTCTTCTTATGTTGAAATCTAACTTATGGAAAGCTTGATAATATATTCAAAGTTTATCTCGAAATAAAAAGTCAAATTAATGTTAAATATGCATGTATACAAATATCCCACAGCACTGCTCTAGAGCATGTGCATAGATGCTTTAAACAATGGTATTTATCCCGCCAGTTTGATTGGTTGAAATATGCACGTGACATCATGTCGGAGGAAGGCGTGAACATCAACATCACCGCGGAGGAGATTGTCGTCAACTGGTCTCCCCCATACTTTGAGAGGCTGTTTCCCCTCCTGGAGAATACACCAAAGAGGTAATTTAGACTGAAGACTGAGATTTAAGTTTCTGCCTGGTTTAACAGTTTTGCAGACATAATTACACCACTCAACAGAACTGAAGACCCTTCTGATCCTTCATTGCAATATACCCGTGACAGAACCCACGAATACCTATATAGTTGCGTGTACAGCAACGTGCAGTAAACATGGACAAAGAACTGTGACTATGTGCACGAGTCGTAGGGAGTTGAGATTGAAAATACGATGCGCCGTTGAGATATGAGATGTGTGTGTATGCATGAGAGAGAGAGAGAGAGAGAGAGAGAGAGAGAGAGAGAGAGAGAGAGAGAGAGAGAGAGAGAGAGAGAGAGAGAGAGAGAGAGAGAGAGAGAGAGAGAGAGAGAGAGAGAGAGTTTACGTGTTATAGTGCTAATCACTCTGCTTGCGTGTTACAGAGTGTTGGCCAACTATGCTATATGGATGCTTGTAAAGCAGGGAGTGAAGCTACTTGACTCCTCATTCCGGGACAGCATCAATGTATTCAACAAGGTAACGTACAGAAGCACTAATATCAGCTGTACACACTACATATATACTGAACAGCAAAAGAAACGCAACTCTGGTTTTTGTCAAGTTTTTATATGGAAGACATAAACATGAACGCTTACTTTTATGAGATTTCATTTTTTCGAAACTTGCGTTTCTTCTGCTGTGCAATATATGTCTTATTTAGCCTATGCTTTGATGTACCCTCGATGTTTGTTTATGTTCCCTGAGCCCGAAGGGCCCCGAGGGACCAGTGAACAACGTATTTATCTTACCAAACACCTTAATGTTAATTTTGAATGGTTTGAAGCACGGGTACAAATCATTTTGTAGCCATACCTAGATTTTGTTGACAAGAAAAACAGATTTAGGGTTATCACCCTTCCATCGATTCCATCCATTTGCATTCGCAAAACATCGGTAATTCCCGTACATCGGTAACGTAATTCGATGTTATTCGAGATAAAGAATTACTACCACGAAGTACCAAATGAGTTGCTATTGACAGGTGGGTACATCGAAAAGTTACTCGCTTGTAAGCGGGGTACATTGAAAATAATAGAAGAGCGCTCAGCCAATCAGAAAGCGACATTTATGTGTGAGGCAAGATATATATATACAGTCAAATCTCGATGAGTCGAATCGCTGGGGACCAAGTAAAAGATTCGGCTTATCGATGTATTCGAGACATAGGGATGTCTATGAGGGTAGAAAAAAAGATGATTCAATATTTAACAATTCCTTTATTCCGCACATCATATCTAAATATAGCACAACAATACATTAGGTGACATAGATAACAAACATTATACATATCAGAACACATTTCAATACCAGCACAATAAAATAGAAAATACATTTACCTCTTAAAATCCATGAACAAACTCTATCGGCAATCGATAGATACAGTATACATGTACTAGTACATGACGCCATCTTGAATCTTATTAATATACAAAAAGACGAACTCACTTCTGAAAAAGTCTGACATTAACGTTTGTTTATGTGAATTTCCCTTACATTTATCCACAAATTCACGGACGCTTGCCAGGGAACATTGTAACTCCGCCATGATGTACAGATCATGAATAGTAATGACCGAATGAAAGCTGCTATATAACGCAACCGATTTGATTGAGTTAACTCAATGTCATGTGCTAATTCTTCCGCTTCCGTAAAATCACTTCTCATTGACTGACTTCGGCTTATGTATACAAGATTACTATTGTTTGAATCTCAAGGGACCAAATTTCCATTTCGAGTCATCGTGTGTATTTATGAGACGAATTCGTGTAACCGGAACTCAAATGATGACAAAAACAGCAGGGAATGGTCGGGACCGACAGGTACTTCGTGTTATGCATTATATTCGAGACACCGGCATTCGACTCATCGGGATTTGACTGTATATATATATATGTATGTATGTATTGGTATGTATGTATGTGTATGTATGTATGTATGTATGTGCGTATGTATGTATGTATGTATGTATGTATGTATGTATGTATGTATGTATGTATGTATGTATGTATGTATGTATGTATATATATATGTATGTATGTATGTATGTATGTATGTATGTATATGAGTTGAGTTATAGCTGATATCCGAGCTATATGGCGGCTGTCGAGTAAAAATTCGAGCAAAAATCCGAGTCTGGACCATACAATCCAGTGATCAACATCATGAGCATCAATCTACGCAACTGGGATACGATAACATGTGTGAACCAAATCAGCGAGCCTGACCACCTGATCACGTCAGTCGCTTTACGACAAGCATTGGTTACTGAAGATCAACCCTAACCTGGACCTTCACGGGTCCTCTATATATCACCAGAATCCCGATTGTGTGTTAATCATCAGTCAGGGCCCTGACTATGTGTGGGTCAACAGTCAGGGCCCCGAATGTGTATAAAGACAGAAAGCCAACTGTGGTTAGATCACGATCATATCATGCAACACTTACCAGTATCTTTATGTGTCAGGGCCCCCGTTTCACGAAGCTATGGTAGCGCTACTGTCGTAAGTCTATGTTAGGGTGTGGGAGTAACGACAGTCGTAGCGCTACGATAGCTTTGTGAAACGGCGACTGATCCCGGATGAAAGTTAAAGGAAACAGAGGTGCCATTGCCCATTGTCTCTTCTTTCAATAGTTTTCAATTCTATATGCTGCAAAACTGAAACTTTACACTCACAGGTGTTACGTGGAACTTCAGTTGAACCTCCACGTTGGAAGGTGTGCACATCGTATGTAAACAGCGTCATGATGCTCGCCGTAGGTCGTCTCTACGTCGACGCCCACTTTAAGGAATCAGCGAAATCCAACGTAAGTGTGACCATCTGCTGAGTGAGTGAGTGAGTTTAGTTTTACGCCGCTTTTAGCTATATTCCAGTTGTATCACGGCGGGGGACACCAGAAATGGGCTTCGCACATTGTACCCATGTGGGGAATCGAACCCGTGTCTTTGGCATGAAGAGCGAACGCTCTAACCACTAGGCTACCAGCCGTCCCGACCATCTACTGGTAGTGAGTGAGTGAATGGGGTTACATCGTTAACAACATTCCTTCGTTCTCAAAAAGGTGTACCTATCTAGGGAATCGAACCTGATTTCTGACAAACAACTTATACATTATATAAGACAGAAAGCCATTTTTCACTATGATGTCAAAAGGCGTCAGGTGAGGTGAAATAGGGTTTAACGTCGTACTTGAGAATATTTAACTCTTATGACTACGTGCATGCGGGAGTATGTGTGGCTGCTTGTACTAACCCAGACATAAGCTGGTTTTATAGTGCTAGCCCACTGAGATACCATGCCGCAGTGAAGCATGAATACCCCACTCAGAAAACATTATACTGACTCCGAGCCGACCAGTCCTTGTAGTCCCCATTATTGCCGAGCGTCAGGCAGGGACCAACAAGTACCATATTTTAACGTCTTTTGGTATGACGCAGCGTGGGATCGAGCCCGCGACCTTCCCCTCTCCTGGCTGACAAAAAAGCATCAGAGAGGGTACATCATGTCGTTTAGATAACAGGGTGAAACTATTAAAGATATCCTTCCTCCTCGGCCACCTCTGAAACCAGAGAGGATGAAGATGACATCGTCTGAGTCACGCACGATATTCATACGGAAACACCCAGGTCATAATCTCTGTTAATGCGATGCCGTCTATTTTATCCAATCACAGATGTTAAACATCATCTCCTACTTGCGGTCTTCCTTTAATAGCCTCATGGAAGAGGCTGCCTGGCTTGATGACCCCACGAGAGCTGTCGCGAGGGAAAAGGTGGGTGAGTGAGTGAATGAGGCAGTGAGTGAGTGAGTGAGTGAGTGATGCTGACGTGTTGCAGCTCCTAACCAGGTAATCCTGAGACAAGGGTCCTGTTCCACAAAACGCTAAGGTATCCTTAGTGCGATGTTAAAGAATGGGAGTAAAGGTTAGTAAAGGTTGCTTCGTGAAGGAGCCCAAGGACAGCAGAAGGGAAGTCAGTTGTTTATCAGTTGTACATCCATGAATATGGAACGTACCTCTTTTAATCTGGCATTTGAAGCGCTTTAGAGATAAACAAGCACCAGCGATTGTTGTTGTGTCATATTGAATTATCCAATTTGTCTTTGCAAAATCAATTGCCTCAGCCTCCACCACAACCCCTGAAAATCGAACCAATATTCAAAAATATTCAAAAGAGAAAAAACCCGAAGGCCCAAACCAAACTCCAAACCCAAACAAAATAAAGATGATGGAAAAACATAAAAACGCATGACTGAGAAGAACAAAGGAAAAACGAAAGTAAAAAAATATGTTGATGATGATGTAAATTAATGTTGCAGATTTTGTTTTGATATTTAAGGCGGAGGTGATGAGTGAGAAGATTGGTTATCCCCAAGCCTTGAAGGACAACAGCTACCTCGACGACCAATATAGACACGTACGTAACTGTAGACCTCGACACTTGCACTGACCACATGTGTTTCCAAACTGATGGGTTTCGGGAACTGGCGTCATGTTAGGTGATATTTTTAGGCTTTGATATTTTAGATGAGTGAGTGTTTGTTTGAGTTTATTTGTTGTTTAACGCCACACGCAGCAATATAACAACTATATAGCTGCGGTTTGTAAATAATCGAGTCTGGGCCAGACAATCCAGTGATCAACGTCACGATCATTGTTTTACTTAAGTGTGTCAACAAAGTCAACGAGCCTGACCACCCGATCCCGCATAAGTGAGTGAGTTAACATCCTAAGTCACGTTGTTTCAGTCATCACGTGACTATTACCTTCATGGTGGTGGTAATACTGTTAACATGACGGTTTCAGGGAATGTTAATGATGGTCTCATTGTTTCGGTCTGATGACGGTTGGGAGTGAATGAGTTTAGTTTTACGCCGCTTTTAGCAATATTCCAGCAATATCACAGCGATGGACACCAGAAATGAGCTGCACACATTGTACGCATATGGGGAATCGAACCCGGGTCTTCGGCGTGACGAGCCATTGCTTCAACCACTAGGCTACCCCACCGCCCCAAACGACGGTTGTGACAATTATAATAGTAATGATTATGATACTAGTGATGGTGATGATGATTGTGGCGATGGCTGTCATGATTGTAACAGTAGCGATCCTTGAGTCTGTAATAGTTTTAACAATGTCGATTGTATGAGGCAATGGTGATGCTTAAGACTGTGGTACTTTCAGCAATATAATTATTTTGGGTAATGGCAGATGTGTTACAATGTTGATGCGTGTGATAGCTTCAATGGCTACCCACCGGGGTAGCCTAGTGGTTAATGCGTTCGCTCTTCACGCCAAAGACGCTGGTGCGATTCCCCACATGGAAACAATGTGTAAAGCCCATTTCTGGTTTCTCCCGCAGCGATATGGCTGGAATATTGCTAAAAGCGGTGTAAAACTAAACTCACTCACTTCCATGGCTATGGTGGTGATGGCTGTGGGTATTGTCATATTGTTGCGATGACTGCGCTCGTGATTGTGTTGACAGGGATAAAACAAAATACATTATACCTTGGTTATAATGCCACCATTTGTCCAGGTGAAAATATGGCCTTATATCCAGGGTGGCATTATAAACAGGTAGGACAGTTAGAGGCCCTATGCAATCAACAAGGTGATTGAGCTGATGTCTCCTGTAATGAGCCTTGAATGACTGGATAATCCCAGCGTCTAGGGGCTGCAGGTGACTGGATAATCCCAGCGTCTAGGGGTTGCAGGTGACTAGATAATCCCAGCGTCTAGGGATTGCAGGTGACTGGATAATCCCAGCGTCTAGGGGCTGCAGGTGACTCGTTGTCAGTGGCAGGAAGTGTATTGTCACATGTGTTATCCCATCAGGGACTACAGGACAACTTAAAGCATTAATGAGTTTGGTCAATTAATTTTCATGTCAGTTAACCATTATAACCAGGGTGCACTGTACTTCGAAAAAGAAATTATGTATTTTGTTAACTGAAAGTTAAACTGTGAAAACAAGAAGGGAAGTTACGTCAAAACATTATGACGTCATAATTTCCAGTCAGATGATCAGATATTTACAAACTGACTAATCAGACAGAATCTTTAACGACAATAAAATGGCTGTTTCAGTATGTATTCAACGCAAGTCTGTATTTTGAGAACGTCCAACTAGAGCTACAACAGGCCTCAAGAAGAAATCTGCGTAAGCTCCGACAAGAGGTAGACAGATCCCAGTAAGTGAGAAAACTGGTGCTATGTCACATGCGTAACTGTTGATATGAGTGAGTGAGTGAGTGAGTGAGTGAGTTTAGTTTTACGCCGCACTCAGCAATATTCCAGCTATATGGCGGCAGTCTGTAAATAATCGAGTCTGGATCAGACCATCCAGTGATCAACATCATGAGCATCGACCTACGCAATGGGGAACCGATGTCATGTGTCAACCAAGTCAGCGAGCCTGACCACCCGATCCCGTTAGACGCCTCTTACGACAAGAATTGTCGCCTTTGTGGCAAGCATGGGTAGCTGAAGACCTATTCTACCCCGGATCTTCACGGGTCTGTTGATATAAGATGGAGATGAAATGTCAATACTCACCACTGATGTGAAATATGCTGATTTCTTTCATATTGTTTAGTCATTTGTGCTCAAAGTTTATTGTAGCTATTGTCCGAAAATGTATCGATAATCGATAATCATTTAACGATGATCGATCTGTGTGATCTATATTTTTCTAAGATGCCAAATTTAATACATTCCAAGGATAATTACGAATAATTTAAAGCAGAAAACAAACGACGGTGTCGGTGACCTAAATTAAGAATCCTCGCACAGGGCTAACTGGCGCGCTGTTCTATTGATGTGTCTGCCCCCTACGTTAAGACGAACGTGTCCAGAAAAAACAAATGATAACAGTTTGAATTACAGAATTAGTTTAATTACATCTGTCATTAACGTAAACCATATGGGGCAATATGAACGTCGCATTTCTACTACCAACGTAAGCTTAGATCAGTACATCCAGATGAAGCTGAGTAGTCAAGCGACATTCCACGATTGCATTGTGGGAATGTAAACATTGCGAACGTTACCGTGTCGCTGAAAACTTGTGAGCTGCATTGACACATTTTAACCGTCGTAAAACATAAACGTAATGTTTTCAACAGTGATGTTAGCTGCGTGAAGCAACTGCAAACCAAGAAACGGGATGCAACGGAGTAGTTTACTGTGGGAGGCCGTACGAGGCGATGACAACTGACATGCATCGTGACGTCGCTTACATTGTGACGTAATGTAAAATGGTTCGATTACGAGGGGGCACACTAGAATGGCGCAGTGACGGGATAAAGTCATTCAATTGTTACGTCATCAAAAAACTATCCCTTTATTGTCTGATTATGTTTGTTTTTCGATTGTTCTAACCGCTAGGCATCTTAGAACAATAGCTATCCCTATACTAAACTGATATTGTCTTTTATTGTCCGCTATGTTTGTCTATGTTTATTCACCCGTGTTTGTTGCTTACTATCTTACTATCTTCTGTGTTTATCCGTCTTTGTTTGTTGACTACAGGGGCGGTGGGGTAGCCTAGTGGTTAAAGTGTTGGCTCGTCACGCCGATAACCCGGGTTCGAATCCCTACATGGGTACAATGTGTGAAGCCCATTTCTGGTGTTCCCCGCCGTGATGTTGCTGGAATATTGCTAAAAGCGGCGTAAAACCATACTCAGTCAGTCAGTTGTTGACTACAGTTCTTGTCTGTTTTCAGATGGCCCGTGCAACCCGCAATCGTCAACGCCTTCTATAACCCATCATGGAATGAAATATGTTAGTGGACACAGTAGAGTATAAAACAAGTTCGAGAGTTTGAAATCTCATAACATCCCATGAGGAAACTTTGTACAGGCTTATAGTATAAACCGAAAAACACATCTTACATTGTACAACATAACTGAGTAATACATGAAACCTATGTTCAACCAACCTCAGGAAACGGGCGTAAAATATATCTTGCTAGTGCATATATGTTATGATATATGAACATCCCAGAAGCTTGGTCAGTTCACAGCTGATGATGCAAATGAGTGAGTGAGTTTACTTTTACTTTCACCAATGTTCCAGCAATATCACGGCAGGGACACGAGAAATTGGCTTTGCATATTGTATCCATGTGGAGAATCGAACTAGCGTCTTCAGCGTGACGAGCGAACGTTTTAACCACCCTGGTACCCCGCCCCCCTGCTGATGTAAAGGCTGCTTGTTTGCTCTACTGAAATGTAAAGCAAACATTTGTCATTTGATTATATTTCATCACGGACATTAAGCAAATTATGGAAGCCATAATGGTTATCATGTTTGTTCCAATTTCAGTATTTCCTGCCGGTATTCTTCAGCCGCCATTCTACAGCGAAAACCAACCCAGGTAAGGAGGACACTCACTGTGTGGGGTTTGTTTTCATCATAAGTGAGTGAGTGAGTTGAGTTTTATGCCGCACTCAGCAATATTCCAGCTATATGGCGGCGATCTGTAAATAATCGAGTCTGGACCAGACAATCAAGTGATCAACAGCATGAGCATCGATCTGCGCAATTAGGAACCGATGACATGTGTCAACCAAGTCAGCGAGCCTGACCACCCGATCCCGTTAGTTACTGAAGGCCAATATTCTGACCCGGACCTTCACGGATCTTCATCATAAGAAATAACCAGTGCACTTCTGATGTTGATCTAACGATCATCGTGCTTGTAACAACGAATTTTAAGGATGCTATTATTTCACATTTGATTCAGTTCCAATTTGATACGATCCTTTGGCTACTGTGATCGTCATCCATATAACAAAAATCAGAATTTTTCTTCGATACGAGACCAGCGGACACCACGGAGGTCGCTTGTAATTCTTGTGACGAGTGAAAGAAGTATTTAGCATATGTGATTTCTTTACATCGGAAACGAACTAAAAGGGCAGTTCCGAATGTAAACAATAATGCCACGTGGTTATGTTGTGATGGTTATTTTTAGACATGGAAACTTAGCTCACTCACAAACTCATACTTCGTAGGGTTATCAGATATACACGCAGGCAGGCTTCGTACTGGAGTAGACCCGTGAAGATCCGGGGTAGAATAGGTCTTCAGCAATCCATGCTTGCCACAAAAGGCGACAATGCTTGTCGTAAGAGGCGAGTAACGGGATCGGGTGGTCAGGCTCGCTGACCTTGTTGACACATGACACCGGTTCCCAATTGCATAGATCGATGCTCATGCTGTTGATCACTGGATTGTCTGATCCAGACTCGATTATTTACAGACCGCCGCCATATAGCTGGAATATTGCTGAGTGCGGGGTAAAACTAAACTCACTCACTCACTCGTACTCTAGTAAAGCACTTGGTTTTTAATGAGACTATATCTTTATATAAGTAGTATGTTTAAAAGCATTGGGTTCTGCTGACATACTCTTGATTAAAAAGTCCGCCTGTTTTTGCAGGTCCGGGGACTGTTATTGAAAATGTTTAATTTCTAACTTTGTAACTTTGTCTTTCAGTTCAATCAACTTCGGGGGTGTGGGTAGCGTCATTGGACATGAAATAACGCATGGATTCGACAACTACGGTAAGTTGTGTCTTAAGAATTGAATATGTATATGATTTCGTATCCAATATGGATTATTAGACCATGAAAAGTGAAATAAATGTTCTTTCCTCTTGTACGTCCTTAATAATCTGAAGTATTCTTTCACAAGTAAAAACTATTTTGCTGTTAACACAAACATGTAGTGACTATTGCATTTCATTCCATACTGATGAACATTGTTATGGGTCGACCATTTGAGGCCTTCGAGAAATCGTTGAGGCAGACAGGATCCCAGTCCAGAATTGAGCATTGAACAAACATGGCGACCTGCCATATATACTAGCCACATAAAGAAACTGTGCATTGTCAAAATATTATCTCAGTTGATAAGTACGATAACAATGTCAAAGGTACATATAAACTTTAATGGAGGGATCATGAGACCATAACAAGTCGGGAGAATTTCAATTGAAAAGTCAATCACAATGACGTCACGAGTCCACAAGCGGGACAGGGGTCAAACGACCATGTCACAAGCTCAATAACGGGTATGTCCACCATCGGCATTGAGAACGCCAGATTCTCTTAAGTTCTGTTGCAAGGTCAAGGACGTTATCTGGCGGATGAGGAAGACGGCGTAGACGTCGATCCATCTCGTCCCAAACATGCTCTATCGGGGAGAGATCCGGTGAATTTGCAGGCAAAGGCAGTAAGTCAACGTTGTGGTGTTGCAAGAAATCCATAGCAACCCTTGCCGTATGAGGGCGGGCATTGTCCTGTTGGAATGTTAACCCAGGGCCATGACGTTGCAGAAAAGGAATTGCCACAGGTCGAAGAATCTGATCCCTGTAGCCCACACCAGTTAAGTTGCCCTGAACAATCACCAAAGGAGTTCTTTGGCGTGCTGTTATTCCACCCCAAATCATCACGGAACCACCACCAAAGCGATTCCTCTCCAAGACACAGGCCTGTGCATAACGTTCTCCCACGCGTCTATAGGCACGTTGACGTCCATCACTATGGGAAATGTTAAACCTGGACTCATCTGTAAAAACAACATTTCTCCACCAAAACAAGGGTCTGCGGACATGATTTCGGCGAGCTTGTCGATGACGTTGTGTCAGGATAGGCCGTATGGCGGGACGTCGTGGTCTGATCCCGTGATGACGTAAACGTTGTCGAACTGTGTTGGGGTGGATACGGCGAAGTCCTGGGATGGTTCGGGCAGTCATCACTGCAGTCTGAAACCTGTGGCGAAGATGGGTCACCCTTATCCATCTGTCCTGTCTTGGCGTTGTAACACGTGGACGTCCAGAACGTGGCCGATCGATGACGTCATTTGTGTTCTGGTAGCGTCTCACCAGTGCAGAAATGGTGTTCCGGTGGCAGTGGAAATGTGCAGCCACTTGTCGTTGAGACATTCCCCCACGGACCATCCCAATGGCCTCATGACGTTGTGCAGACGTGAGCCTTGGCATGCTATGCGTTTCATTTTTTGAACGATCGCAAGGGCAGGGGTTGAGCTTTTGCAAAGTGACAGTATTGTGTGGCATTCATTTGCTCTGTTTCTCTTTCCCGGAATGCACGTGCAACAACGTATTGCACGTCTCAAGGACGAACCCACTGACGTCACGGAACGTGGCACGTGCATGCATGTTGGATACATGTCACGAATCTCTGAGTTTCAATCCTTATGTGTCTAAAAGGTTTAATAAATTTAGATTTTAAATTGCAAAGTTTCTTTATGTGCCTAGTATATTTACTTAAGAAAAACCAAAAAATGGGGAGTAACGTAGCGCCAGCAGTTGACAGCATAACCAGTTTGGACTGATTCCCAGTTGACGCACCGACCTGATAAGTCAAGGGGAGGTAACTGTGCCCAATGAATTTTGTTATTCCTCTTCAATCTCAGGCCGACAGAGGGACAAGGACGGCAACCTGCGACAATGGTGGGACCAGGATGTGATAAACCGTTTCCAGAATGCCACCAAATGCTTCGTGAACCAGACCTCAAGCTTCGTCAGCCCCGAGGCCGGTCTCAACGTACGTCGATTGATTGATTGATTATTTTGACCTCGAGTTGACCAGTCTGTCATATCTTCGTAATCTCTACTCTAGTTCCACGCGTGGCGGAGGGTAGCCTAGTGTTTAAGCGTTTGCACGTCACGCCAAATACCTGGGTTTGATTCCCTACATGGGTATAATGTATGAAGCCCATTTCTGGTGTCCCCCTCAGTGATATTGCTGGAATATTGCTAAAATCTGCGTAAAACTAAACTCACTCACTTCCATTAGCTCCAGGTAGGGTATCAACAAGTAACGTCTTTAGGTGTGACGATCGAACCACCGACGTACCGCGTTCCAGGCAGACGCTCTATTCCTCGAGGCAACTATGGCTGTGGCTATGACAACATATCTATGTGTACTTTCAGGTCAACGGGGTATTAACCATGGGTGAAGACATCGCCGACAGTGGTGGAGTAAAACAAAGCTTCAAGGTAAGTACATCTTATTGCACATCTTCCGGTAAAGTATGTATATATACTCATAGAAATGAATAAGGGAACACATGAAAGTGCAAGTGTTCCTTTTTTATTTCCAGAATTTCACACACAGTGCAATACACGACTTGTGAAGAAACCTGGAAAGAATAAAGGAATACTTGTACTTTCATGTGTTCCCTTATTTCTTTCCATGAGTATATATTCACCTTATATGCTGGAGGTTGGGAGATGTAATGGTAGAACTGTGTAGGCTTGTGAGATTAGAGACCTTCCGGACAGATCTCTGCCCACTGGGCCCCAGGGGCGATGTGGGGTTTGGATCCTTGCTCATGCTTTTAACAACTGGTTTGTTTGGTCCAGATTATGTCATTTAGAACCGGCATGATGTATCTGGAATGTTGCTGATGTTGTCAAGCAATGGTCCTTTACCAGCTCTTCTACTTCACATATGAACAATTCGGTTGTATTCCAGGCGTACCGGAAGTGGGTCGCTGAGCGAGGAGCCGAGGAGGCGCCCCTCCCAGGAATGAGCCTGAACCACAACCAGCTGTTCTTCCTGTCTTGGGCCCAGGTAGGCACTTTAAATTCTTACCTCACACATGAATGTATGATTTTGATTAGCTGATAACAATTTTTGTAAGGTACAATTCTTCTACTCTCCACTATCATTGCCGGATTGTGGGCATTACATTTGCAACATATAAACGACATACTTGTATCTCGAATTAATGATGTAAGACGCTATTCTCCAGATATTTACGATATTTTCAGAATGAAATATATCGATGTGGTATGGCTTCGATGAATGTGAAAAAATGAAAGAAGCTGATAAATTCCGGTCTTTTCCGGTAATTGAACCAAAGCATGCTTGCGTTAAACACACCTACAATATAATTATGTGTGTGGGACAAGGATTGATGTACCTTTTTGTACTCTATCAACCCATGTCTCTTTCAAGTCCAGTGGACAACTGGGGCGTAGTGCAGTGGCTAAGGGTGAAAATCGATACTTGCCGGACTAAAGCATAAAACTTTGCAAAGTGCTGGGAAATATCATGATAAAACATATTTTTAGGGGGTGCCCGATTTTGGGGGCCCTATTTCCGAAAAATCCAAGAAGTCGTCCAAGATGGCCGCCAAAAATCAAGGATTTCAAGTTCTAACACTACGTGACCTTTCCCGGCTGGATAAAGGCAGAAACATTGCACAGTACTGGGGACTATCATGATAAAACATATTTTTCGGGGATGCCCGACTTTTCGGGCCCATATACCGAAAAAGTAAAGATGGCCGCCAAAAATGAAGGATTTCCAATTCTAACACTACGTGACTACGAAGTCGACCCAGAATGGTCGCCGACTATACAAAAAATTCATTTGTTGCAATATGTGAGATATATTCGCCGTTCAATGGCTCATGGGCTATTTCCTCATACTTTCAAGAAATCTAACAGATAAGATTTATGTTTGGTAGTAAAAGATATAATTCATCATCCAATTAATAAAAGTTACTGTTTTGATCAGTCACATGACATCATTTTGTCAAACATTGACCTCTGTGATTCTGAAGTCTCCTTTTACAGAGCGATGTGCATAGAAGTTGAGAAGATTTACAAATGCACTTCTTTGGACATAGAGGTTGAGACTCGCAGCCACATTTGATAAGTTCTCGACAACTTTGTGAAGCTTCTGGCAGTGATCATCCACACCGGTCGCCATGTGTCGTTGTCCATTGTCCAACCAAACAAATCTGGTTCTGGTGCTTTCTGCCTGGGAAGTAAACAAGTAAGCCATATGCTGGCCTGGTACAAGCTCCTGTTTGTGTGCTGTAGCAGAGCATCCTGAGTGGGAAGAAGGTTCTGCATCAACTTGATCTTGCGGCCGTGGCATAACATTTCTTGTCGCAGTTTCTTGGCTATGTTCTCTGATGTAGTGCTGTCAGACATGATGCATGTGCATAGCTCAGTGATGAAAACCCTTCGGAGTCTTTGTCCACAGGTTGGAGTAGATGTTGTGCAGGAAAAGGAAATCTCTCAGTCACATCCTCATAGGTTATCCAAGTATTCCAAGCAGTTTTCTTGCCTTTTCTACTGAATTGTGATGTTCTGTCAGAACCAGTGAATGCGTGGAAAAAGAGAAGCGCCGCTCATCTTCGACAGCCCAGATCTTGGAATATTCTGTTGATGTGATAATAGTAACTATGAACACCACCTTTTCTGGTTGGTAAGAGCTGCTAGTCACACAATCTGTTAAGAATGCAAAGAATTCTTCTTTGTCCTATGATTCTTTTAGAAAGGTAGTCTAGTGACGGGAAACTTTTCTTCTACTGCCTTTTCTTCGCTTTTCTCGTGTTGTATCCTTCAGGCTACCTTCTTTGTAGATGTAGATGGTAGATGTCCCAAACAATGTCGATACGATGGCAGTTGTCTCTTCGTCTGTAGGAAGAAGAAGATGTCACAAAAATCACCAAACATTTGGGAATCACCCCTATGCGGTGCATGAACAACGGTGGCGCCATCAGACACTTTGGCATCAATGTCAGGAACAGAGTCATGCTCAAGTGATGCAAGACAATCTAAGAGCTCTGATATGCAGTTTGGTAAATGAAGTTTTCCACGAATTGATATGATATACCTGACATTCAATGAACATCTGACTGTAGTCATTGTTCAGGTCATTCGTTTGCTGTTTGATTTAGACTGAGGTTTTGTTTGTGGTCATTTGAAAAAAGGGAGGTGACGCCATCTTGAATGTGTTGGAAAGTGGGCCCCCAAAATCGGGCACCCCCCAAAAATATATTTATCATGATATTCACCAGGTCTTTGCAAAGTTTCATGCTTTAGTCCTGCATGTAACAATCAACCTCAAAATCGGACCTAAGCCAGTGGACTAGGTGGGATAGCTTAGTGGTTAAAGCGTTCGCTCCTCACGCCGAAGACCCGGGTTCTAGTCCCCACTTGGGTACAATGTGTGAAGCCCAATTCTGGTGTCCCCCGACGTGATATTGCTGTTATATTGCTAAAAGCGGCGTAAAACTAAACTCATTCACCCAGTCCAGTGAACAACTCATAACGACCTACAAGCTGGGGGAAAGAGCTGATCATCGGCCACAAGTGACTGAAGTTGGTTGTGCATACTGAACTTTGACGAGACTATGGACAGCCGTTTCAATTTAAAACAGATACACTTTGTATTTGGAGGTCTCAAAGTCGCATGCATGTTTTGTATGGTCAATTCAGTTAGAGATTTCAATTCGGGATATGTGGTGAGATACGTTTTTGATGCAGCGGGAGCGATGTAAACCCGTCATTCTGTGTTCCCAGGTCTGGTGTGCTAAAATCAGAAAGCAGAGAGCGGTACGGAATATCTACATCGACTACCACAGCCCAAACAGACTCAGGTGAACCCTTCTTCCTTGTCAACGTAACCGCCACTACTTGCGACGCTACAACAGCAAATGGAGATTTTATTAGCGCTTTAATTACACCGCTCCTAAGTTTATTTCTGTGTAAACATCAATTTGATCTTTAATTTAACGCAATTAAAATATAAAAAAATAAGTTGAAAATTTAAAACAGCTGCAGCGCTAAGATTCCATAGTGAAAAGAGGCCATGGGGCCAGTTTCACAAAGCTATTTAGTGCAACCACTGTTATATTTTATAAAATAACCAAATGATTTTTTATGATTATTCTATACATCTTTGGTTTTTTGTTTCAGAGCGGTGTCACCGCTGCAGAATCTTCCGGAATTTGCCGAGGCGTTTAACTGTAAGCCCGGTTCCTTCATGAACCCAACCACCAAATGCTCAGTTTGGTAAACTGCAGCTGCTGCTGCAGCTGCGTACCAATTTGCGCATGCGCTGTCCTTCGGATTCACAACGGCATGAGAGGCATTACATCACCCCTGGTGCAAGTAGGGATCGACGTTACTGCAGCAGAACATACATACTGACCATATGTGTGTGTATACACGGAGACCTCGTTGATACTTCTGATCCATTGATAAAGAATCACGCGGTTCAATATTCAATGAATCCAATTATGTTATGTGAGATTAGCATGTTTCATATACTAAGATGTACTAACCGGTAATATAACTCTCAACGCTCAAGTTCATGTGTGTGCGTGTGTGCGTGTGTGAGTGCGTGTTTTAGTTATCACTGGAGATCAGAAAAATTGTGTTTAAAATATAAACATATATATATTACGTTATTTTTTATAAATATACTTATACACTTTTGATATAATATAATTTATATTAAAAACAATTTCGCTCCCCATTTCGCAAAAGAAGATTATAAACAGCGATCGACAAACATATCCTAACAGAAATTTGAGACTCCACTCTTTTTAGATAGACTTTGAATATTGGGGTCTCTATATTCTGGGACAAACTTATTTTCACTCAAGCGTCAGCTGCATAAAAATGTACAACTGTTATAATATGTATGTAAACAAGAAGTCGTACAGCTGTTTATTATCCATATGGTGAAACATAACCAGTGTCTAAATATCATATGTGCACATGTGCACATATCACTTTGGCCAAGCAACCATTGTTTCTGTATTTCATCGTCTGTGACGTCATTAAACAATTGTACGTGACGTCAATGAACAGGGCAGTCAAACTTGCTTACAGTGTTGTACTGCACAAATGTACATGAATAAAATGGATAGTAAAGAAATTATTACACTCGCTAGTGTGCCACACGACTTATACGAAACTCGTGCAAAATTATTTATTGCCCTCGCTCTCTTATGACACACTTGCTCGTGCATAATGATGGTTTTGTTTGTCGTTTAACACTGCACTCAACAATATTCCAGCTATATGGCGATCCGTAAATAATCGACTCTGGACCAGACAATTCAGTGATCAACAGCGTGAGCATCGATCTACGCAATTGGGATATAATGACGTCAACCAAGTCAGCGAGCCTGACCACCTGTTCCTGTTAGTTGCCTTTAACGACAAACAAGCGTTGCTGAAGTGCAATCCTAACCTGAACCTTCACGGGTCCTATCTTTATCACTAGGATCCTCATTGTGTGTGGATCACCAGTTAGAGCCCTGACTATGTGTAGGTCAACAGTCTGGGCCCTTAATAAGTATAGATCACCAGACAGAACCCCAATTTTGTTTAGATCATGAACTCTTTATAACATGCAACACTTTGTTCAGATACTTATACTTTGTCACAAGAATCGTAAATAAATATCATAGATTTACTTTTGTTTTTATCAGATTCTTACCGTTCGCGTCTGCTTTGTGAGTAGGCATGAAGGTACGCCGCTTTTAGCAATATTCCAGCAATACCACGACAGAGACACAAAATATTGTACCCATGTGATCAATCGAACACGGGATTTCGACCTGACAAGCGAACACTTTAACCATTTGGTTCTCTGTCTGTCATCAGATTGTCCACTCCCAGCAGAATGTCGGTCATTTGATTATCCCCTTCCTACAGACAATCAACCATCAGTATATGCCCTCCCTACAGACAATCTACCATCAGTATATGCCCTCCTACAGACAATCTACCATCAGTATATTCCCTCCCTACAGACAATCTACCATCAGTATATCCCCTCCCTACAGACAATCTACCATCAGTATATCCCTCCTACAGACAATCTACCATCAGTATATCCCCTCCCTACAGACAATCTACCATCAGTATATCCCTCCTACAGACAATCTACCATCAGTATATCCCCTCCCTACAGACAATCTACCATCAGTATATCCCCTCCCTACAGACAATCTACAATCAGTATATCCCCTCCCTACAGACAATCTACCATCAGTATATCCCTCCCTACAGACAATCTACCATCAGTATATCCCTAGTATAGACAATCTTCCATCAGCATATCCCTCCCTATAGACAATCTACAATCAGTATATCCCTCCCTACAGACAATCTACAATCAGTATATCCCTCCTATAGACAATCTACAATCAGTATATCCCTCCTACAGACAATCTACAATCAGTATATCCCTCAGTATAGACAATCTTCAATCAGTATATCCCTCCTATAGACAATCTACTGACAGTATATCCCTCACTACAGACAATCTACAATCAGTATATCCTCCCTGTAGACAATCTACAATCAGTATATCCCTCCTACAGACAATCTCCATAATCAGTATATCCCTCAGTATAGACAATCTTCCATCAGCATATCCCTCCCTATAGACAATCTACCATCAGTATATCCCTCCCTACAGACAATCTACCATCAGTATATCCCTCCTACTGACAATCTTCCATCAGTATATCCCTCCTACAGAAAATCTTCCATCAGTATATCCCTTCCCTACAGACAATCAACCATCAGAAAATCCCTCCATACAGACAATCTACAATCAGTATATCCCTCCTATAGACAATCTACTATTAGTATATACCCTCCCTATAGACAATCTACAATCAGTATATCCCTCCTACAGACAATCTACAATCAGTATATCCTCTAGTATAGACAATCTTCCATCAGTATATCCCTCCCCATAGACAATCTACCATCAGTATATCCCTCCTACAGACAATCTACCATCAGTATATCCCTCCCTACAGACAATCTTCCATCAGTATATCCCTCCCAACAGACAATCTTTCCATCAGTATATCCCTCCCTACAGACAATCTACAATCAGTATATCCCTTCCCTATAGACAATCTACTGTCAGTATATCCCTCCTATAGACAATCTACCATCAGTATATCCCTCAGTATAGACAATCTTTCATCAGCATATCCCTCCCTATAGACAATCTACCATCAGTATATCCCTGCCCTACAGACAATCTACAATCAGTATATCCCTCCCTACAGACAATCTACAAACAGTATATCCCTCAGTATAGACAATCTTCCATCAGCATATCCCTCCCTATAGACAATCTACCGACAGTATATCCCCTAACTACAGACAATCTACAATCAGTATATCCCTCAGTATAGACAATCTTCAATCAGTATATCCCTCCCTATAGACAATCTTCCATCAGTATATCCTTCCCTACAGACAATCAACCATCAGTATATCCTCCCTATAGACAATCTACTATCAGTATATCCCTCCCTATAGACAATCTACAATCAGTATATCCCTCAGTATAGACAATCTTCCATCAGCATATCCCTCCCTATAGACAATCTACAATCAGTATATCCCTCCCTATAGACAATCTACCATCAGTATATCCCTCCCTATAGACAATCTACCATCAGTATATCCCTCCCTATAGACAATCTACCATCAGTATATCCCTCAGTATAGACAATCTTTCATCAGCATATCCCTCCCTATAGACAATCTACCATCAGTATATCCCCGCCCTACAGACAATCTACAATCAGTATATCCCTCCCTACAGACAATATACAATCAGTATATCCCTCAGTATAGACAATCTTCCATCAGCATATCCTCCCTATAGACAATCTACAATCAGTATATCCCTCCCTACAGACAATCTACAATCAGCATATCCCTCAGTATAGACAATCTTCAATCAGTATATCCCTCCTATAGACAATCTACTGACAGTATATCCCTAACTACAGACAATCTACAATCAGTATATCCCTCAGTATAGACAATCTTCAATCAGTATATCCCTCCTATAGACAATCTTCCATCAGTATATCCCTTCCTACAGACAATCAACCATCAGTATATCCCTCCCTATAGACAATCTACTATCAGTATATCCCTCCCTATAGACAATCTACAATCAGTAGAGCACCTCCCTACAGACAATCTACAATCAGTATATCCCTTCCTACAGACAATCTTCCATCAGTATATCCCTCCCTACAGACAATCTTCCATCAGTATATCCCTCCCTACAGACAATCTACAATCAGTATATCCCTCTGTATAGACAATCTTCCATCAGTATATCCCTCCCTACAGACAATCTACCATCAGTATATCCTCCTACAGACAATCTACCATCAGTATATCCCCTCCCTACAGAAAATCTACCATCAGTATATCCCTCCCTACAGACAATCTACCATCAGTATATCCCTCCTACAGACAATCTACCATCAGTATATCCGCTCCTGTAGACAATCAACCATCAGTATATCCCCTCCCTACAGACAATCTACCATCAGTATATCCCCTCCCTACAGACAATCTACCATCAGTATATCCCCTCCCTACAGACAATCTACCATCAGTATATCCCCTCCCTACAGACAATCTACCATCAGTATATCCCCTCTCTACAGACAATATATTATCCGACTATCTCCACTCTACAGATAATATATTATCAGTATATCCCCTCCCCACAGGCAATATATTGGGAGGTTATCACCCACCAGAATAGTCTTTTGTTTTAGTCTTTCTTTCAACAGATTCTCTTCCTCATTTCATCTAACAAAATGCATGCTTTACTTCCTGCCAAACCAGTTATACCGGTGTTCGGTGAAAAACGTCTCCAGATTCTTCCTGAAAACGCTGGAAATTCCCCCAAAACACCTATTGCACAACAGGAACACATTTGATGTCACCATGACGCATCACACAACAAGAGGCTCTTAATTGTGACACATTGTTTTTCCATAAACCGACGTGTCAGCTAATTTTTTCCACTGATTCACTCATGAACCATGACGTGTGTAATCTGAAGTGTTGATCATCCTGATGTGTTCAGAGTGACAGTCGCCGTCGCAAACAAGGGGGGATCTTCTACCATGCGATCTGTGTATGTTGCTCTAGTCTTCATGGCGGCCATGACAGTGTTGTCGTGTTCGTTGGGTATGTATGAACACTAGTTAGACCTTTTACGGTTAAATCTTTGAGGGACATTTAGAAGTGGAATGGATAAGAAAAACCAAGATTTATGGATGTCAACTTCTTTATTGTGAATACCACGGCGTACCGGAGTGGATTCTGATGAAGGAGCAAGCATACACCTGATGAAGGAGCAAGCATATAATCCGAAACGTCGTGTTATTCACAGTAAAGAAGTTGACATCCATAAATCTTGCTTTTCTCGTACGGTTAGTCTGTGACCGTCGTATGAATAGTCAGTTCGTTACTACAACGGGCATTCTCACCATCGCGAAATTTTGCTCTTAAGGCATCCATAGCGTGTTTCCAAAGTTCGTGATGTCGAGAATGTACCCTACAGGTAATACATCATATTCACATACGAAATCCTAGGTTTATCGTTGTTTTCATCGATGATATTGAATCAGATAGTGGACAGGAACGATGCTTTTACGTTCACAGGGCGTCTAGTCATTGCTTACTGTACATGTGTCCTTCAAATGCTATTTTCAAATCGCCTTTGTTGCTGCTATAAAATCCATGATGGAAAGGTAACCAACAGTCAAGTGAAATTCTTTAGTCAGTATTGGAGGCCTTGTTGCCCATATTACAAACTGTGTTGAAATCGGCACCAATAGCGAACGCATTTACAAAATTAATTCGCATTTATGTCATGCCACCCAATCTCATAATTGGAAAAGTAATATGGTTTTATTAACAAAACACGGTGTACTCGGTCTAATGCTCAGTCAGAATCTGAAGCCACGTCTCATGTCTTCATATGAGGTAAATATACAGACAATCATCACACAGAAATATTATAGCTGTTTGTGGTCATAGTTCTTAATAACGTTTGAGAAGCCACCCAGAAACTACTATATTATTAATAACAAAGCATAATCAAAGTAATATGCTAATTAATTGATTTAATTAAGAAACAGAGGGTTTTTTTCAAATTTTACAACCCACTAATATATTTTATTGTATTGTGACTTTTTACCTGTGACCTTCTCTCCGTGACTTTTTTCCTCTGATTTTCTTTTCTACATTCTTGTATACAAATTGACAAATTATGAAACACAATTATTGTGTTCTGCTGAGGAAAGCTATGCTGGAGAATATAACGTTAGTAAGTATCAAAAACATTCTCGTCTGTTTCTTAAATAAATTGATTCTATTTGCCTTCAATAGTCTTTTTCGCAAAAGGGGTAGAAAAAGCGCACAAAGAACTTCCATTAAAAATATGAAAAAATAAGGACATTTTGCGATCGCTAACTCGAGTCCCTCGAGAAAATACCTCGAGTTATCTAAAACAGAGATATTTGACAAATGTGCAAAAGTTGAGAGGAGACTGACCTGAAACAAAATATGCTTTTCAAGGGGAAATTCGTATTGTCATTAACGCCCTTTGCGTTGTTTTATATTGTAGTCAGTATCGTTCCAGACGTCGTGCCTAATGGGCTAGGAAATCAGTGGTCGATACCATGAGTCACGACGCAAGGGTTTTCTCCGGGGCGGTGGGGTAGCCTAGTGGTTAAAGCGTTGGCTCGTCACGCCGAAGACCGGGGTTCGAATCCCCGCATGGGTACAATGTGTGAAGCCCATTTCTGGTGTCCCCCGCCGTGATGTTGCTGGAATATTGCTAAAAGCGGCGTAAAACCAAACTCAGTCAGTCAGTCAGTTTTCTCCGAAACACTGTTCGATTAATACGCTCTGTCATATAAAAGGACGATTATGTGCCACCAGTGTTCTTTTCACTCCAAATTAAACATGGAACGAAATAACTAATCTGCAGATCTCCTGAAATTAGAAGAAAAGTTTGGAAAAAACAATGATTAACTTGCATATGACATGATACATTTCCGCCTCCAAAATGTATTAAATTCCTTATATGTGAGAGTTTTGTGGCGTTTCAGCTAATGATCGAATATTGGAGTGGGTGAGTGGGTGAGTGAGTTTGAAGTTTACGCCGCTTTTAGCAATATTCCAGCAATATCACACAAGACATAGGTTTCACAAGTTGTTCCCATGTAGAGAATCGAGTGAGTGAGTTTAGTTTTACGCTGCACTCAGCAATATTCCAGCTAATAATCGAGCATTCTAGTTGTTGACGTCGAGCCTTCCAGTTACCATATGTGATATTTTCAGCCTCAAAAGTCGGACTTACTTCCGGGCAAGTGACCAAATTCCACTGCCCGATCTGCAGACGTCTCCTCAACCCAGAGAGTAGACAGCGATGCATCAGGATTTTTTGTCGACTAGACGAGGAGACGATTGCCATATGAAGACGTGTGTCGAGCCTCTGGTGAACTTGTGCCATGTACTGTTTTGCATTAATTGTGAAGAATAATCGTAAAGAATACATGCACATGTAAATCTATAGGTGGGGGGCGGTCAAAGTTGTGATGACCTTTGCCATCCAGTTTTTGTGTGAATAAAACAGTTTTAAACTGAAAACTCTTAGTGAGATCTCGGTGAAGTCGCCTGTCACTCTTGTGAAGTGAGCCCCCATTGAAGTGACAGCCCTGTGAACTGGTGAGGTGAGCTCGTGGTGAGGTTCAAGTATACCAAACCATAATGCGTACATACGATTGAAGCCATTGAGAGTGCATATCCCCTTCTGTTTATTGTCGAATAATCAAACGAGTTCGTCGGGATTGTATGTAAAATGTTCTAATCTGGCATACACATTTACTGACATATAAAAGGTTTTGCGCTTTACGCTCCTGTCATTTCAACGTCAATGCTGCGGACTTGTCACAGTATCTCCGTGACTGCGAACCGGAAGTGTAGCCATTTTGTCGTGGCAGTGCGGTGACTGGTATCGCCATTTTGTAAGGTTGGCACGGCGATTGTGTCTCGATATTGTTACAAAGTATCGCGATTGTGCCACTGCAGAGAAGGAATGTTGCGTCCCAAACCAAACGGAAGTTGATTTTGACCGGTAGTGTATCACACTATCATGCGTTCATACATGTTTTCGGCAGAAGTGCATCCAACAATGTAAGAACTAATGTGTTGCAAAATTGCAGAGAAGAAAAGTTGCTTCCCAAACGAAAAAGGAAAGATGATTTTGACCGGTAGCGTATTACACTATCATCTCTTCATGTATATGTTCAGCAGAAGTGCATCAATTAATGTAAGAAACAATGTGTTGTAAGATTGCAGAGTAGAAATGTTTCTTCCCAAACAAAAAAGGGAAGTTGGTTTTTACCGGTAGTGTATGATGTCCGTTTGACGTTATCAAGGTTGTCAAGGCGGATGTAACCGAGGCGGCTAAGGTCATAATGACAAACAGAAGAATGACAAGGTTTCTAGGAAGTTTGTCACGTTAAAAGAATGCAGGCATATTGCGTAATGCCGAGGTACATCGCCCAAGCTTTGTCTTACTCAGCATGGGTGTGGTATTTTGAAAAGAAAACTTAGAACCCACAGCTATTAAGTATTCGTTGAGTAAATCGACATACGTGTTTAAATTGTTCTTTACACCAGAACTATTTTTTCATTTGATTGATCTCTCAATGAATATATCAAGTGTTTCAAGCCTGATCACGTTCAAATATAATTACCCGTGAAAGATCCGGGTTAGAATTGATCTTCAGTAACCCACACATGTCATCGGTTCCCAATTGCGAAGATCGGTGTTTATGCTGTTCATCACTGGATTGTTTGATCCAGACTCGATTATTTACAAATAACTCGAATATTGCTGTGGGCGGCGTAAAGCTAAACTCACTCACTCACTCAAATTTAATCAAGGTAGGTATACATCTAATCCGTGTAAAACGAACACTCGACAATCCAGACAGAAAAGCAAGAAGATGAATACAATTCATGATTAACGAATAATTCTTAATGAGCAGTGTCCGCTTAGTGTGTACCCGGATAGGCGAGGGGGTGGGATGTGAGCTGTCAGGGTGCATGAAAAATTGCAACTCAGAAACGGAAAACGAAGGATGTACGTTCATGAAACAAGCACATTGTTTTACGTGGTCTGAATATAAAAAAAATGTCAATGTTTCTTCCCGGGGGCAGTTCCACATGTTAATGAATATCAACCCTGAAATGAACGTAACAGGATTTATTTGTAAATTCAGATATCAGTTCGAGAATAAGATTATTTGCCGTACTTAATCAGTGTGTTTTAATCAATCAATTCTAAAAATAGATTATTTGCCGTACTTAATCAATGTGTTTAAAGCCATGACACGAGCACAGACGCACGCTAGTTCAACATTGCGTTTGCAGTCGTTCGCAACTATTTTCAGCCTGCTAATGTTTCGATAACGTTTTGAAAGTTTTTGAATAAATATATCTATGCTTTCTTTTGTCTGGCAATTGCATTTCCATCGTTATTTTTCGATTTACGCCCATTTGAATCTGTTTCTGGGGATGATCGATTGTTGTCGATGGATTTAAAATTATATTTAAATGAAGTAAGTGTAAAGGTTGTTCTATTATCTGTAGAAACATCAACGAGTTTTCGACTTAATAAAAAGGTAACATTAAGGCTTGCTTGCTAAGGAACTGTAGGCTCCCGTTTGTTTGTTTAGTTGTAGTTTATATAAACTGTATGAGAGCTCTGAATAAATTATCGTCTCTAGAGCAGACAATCCAGTGATTGACATCCTGAGCATCGATCTACACAACATGGGATACAGTGACACGTGTCAACCAAGTCAGCGAGCCTGACCACCCGATCCCGTTAGTCGCCTCTTACGACAGGCATGGGTTACTGAAGACCAGGGCCTAGATTTTCGAAGCTCTCTTAGATAGTCGTAAGTGCCATTCGTTAACATTAGCTTACGACTATCTTAGCGCTAAAAGAGAGCTTCGAAAATCTAGGCCCAGTTCTAACCCGGATCCTCACGGGTTTGGGAATAATTTATACACTTCAGTTTGTGTGTGCTGCATAACATGTTTTAAATGAAAACAATAGGGTGAATTATACTGTCACGGTAGAGACAAAAAACAACAGTGAATGATGGATTGTTTTCTTCACATAGCATTGAGCACGCATGGAGTAATTATTTGGGCTAAATTACAGCTTTGCGGAAAAATACGAAAAATATTATGATTTCAGGAGCAGTTGACCCCTTATTATATCCGTGGTTGTGACACTTACTTCGTGTCTGTCAGGTAACGTCATTGTCCTCATAAAACAGAAGTTGACAACCATACATTTGCCCCTTTGTGTGCAAGACACATGTCGCAGAGTGTACTTTCCTGAATGTTGTTACGCGATCAGAACATGTATGAAGATGAGGATTATGTTTGAAGTGTATATGATACAAAATTGCCACGAGTTTAGTTTTACGCCGCTTTTAAAAATATTCCAGCAATATCACAGCGGCGGACACCAGAAATTGGCTTCACACATTGTACCCATGTTCGGAATCAAACCCGGCTCTTCGGCGTGACGAGCGATCGCTTTAACCATAAGGCTACCCCGCCGGCCACAAAACTGCAGTGACGTTAAGGAGATGTATGACAATCACATGTCAACGTATTTTGTCATAAATGTCCTTCATAAGGAAACAGCCACTCATTCATACACACGTGCATATAGGTTCCAGTGTCAGTGTCAGCAATAATGTTCAGCTTGACATTAAACCCCATTTCTCCGAAACCCACCTTAGATACACGAGAAGTCACTGTCATGACTTCTGACTTTTCCGAAAAAAACCCAATCCTCTTGAGGCGACCCCTTAAAAGCGGGCCCTTTTCTTTCGGGGAAATGTCGATAGCACACGGTGGTCTAGTTCTGGAAAATATGTTCACGTCCCTGAAAGAATATTCAAGATGATCAAATCTTGAGTGTGCGCGTGTGCGTGTGCAAGGCTTCACTCAACATTATTGGTGGAGATTGATTGGGATGTGACGTGAGATGGATTGGTGTTTATTGCACTAACATGGTCATTGGAGTGGTGCGTGAGATGAATTGGTGTTTATTTCACTTACATGGTCACGGTTGTGGTGTGGTGCGTGAGATGAATTGGTGGTTATTTGTACTTACATGGTCACGGTTGTGGTACGTGAGATGAATTGGTGTTTATTGCACTTACATGGTCACGGGTGTGGTACGTGAGATGAATTGGTGTTTATTGCACTTACATGGTCACGGGTGTGGTGCGTGAGATGAATTGGTGTTTATTTCACTCACATGGTCACGGGTGTGGTGCGTGCGATGAATTTGTGTTTATTGCACTCACATGGTCACGGGTGTGGTACGTGAGATGAATAGGTGTGTTTATTGCACTAACATGCTCACGGGTGTGGAGCGTGAGATGAATTGATGTTTATTGCACTTACATGGTCACGGGTGTGGTGCGTGTGATGCGTGTTTATTGAATTGGTGTTTATTGCACTTACATGGTCACATGGTCACGGGTGTGGTGCGTGAGATGAATTGGTGTTTATTGCACTTACATGGTCACGGGTGTGGTACGTGAGATGAATTGGTGTTTATTGCACTTACATGGTCACGGGTGTGGTGCGTGAGATGAATTGGTGTTTATTGCACTTACATGGTCACGGGTGTGGTACGTGAGATGAATTGGTGTTTATTGCACATGGTCATGGTCACGTGAGATGGTGTGGTGCGTGAGATGAATTGGTGTTTATTGCACGGGTGTCACATGGTCACGGGTGTGGTGCGTGAGATGAATTGGTGTTTATTTCACACATGGTCACGGGTGTGGTACGTGAGATGAATTGGTGTTTATTTCACTTACATGGTCACGGGTGTGGTACGTGAGATGAATTGGTGTTTATTGCACTTACATGGTCATGGGTGTGGTACGTGAGATGAATTGGTGTTTATTGCACTTACATGGTCATGGTTGTGGTACGTGAGATGAATTGGGGTTTATTTCAGTTACATGCCCACGGGTGTAGTGCGTGAGCTCCTTTGTATGCCTTGCCGGAACCTTATAAAAATACCACGCACAGCGTTCTAAATGCGAACCATCCAGTCCTTGTTCCATCCCCTTTACAAGGCAGGGTAATAACAAGTACAATCTTCTAACGTCTTGAGGTTACGGATCCCGGATCTTCCCCTCTCTCTGCCCTGGAGGCTCTATCTTAAGTCCAGTATATATATGTTCTTTTAAGAACACTCAAACTGTCCCCTTGACATTCGTGACAAGCATCCATAAATTGAGGACGAAACACGAAACAACGTTGTCACCCGAAAATAGTTTCAAAGGTGTATGCGCTTAATACTTCATGACGTGTTTTACAAGCTGTATCGTGACAATTGGCAGGAAGTAATCTATACACAGCAAACTTCAGCATATCTAATGCTTCGGATGATTCATGTCACAACTGATTGATGGCGACACTCAGATGATATAGACGCCCAATTGATACTTTATCCTGAGTATATAATATCTTCATTATGTAAAGTTTCCATTAAGGGACACGCTTTTAGATCCGGACAAATATATATTCGGA